GTGAGATATTCTCTCTTTCTTTCGGATACCAAAAATAAATCGTAGGCATGAGTTCTGAACCTTTTGGATTTTTTGTTTGAACTGAACGGTTAAACATGGGCCATACAATACATCGGCATAATTGAAAACAGATAGGACCAAGGCTTCACATAATGTTGTTCTCACTTTAGGTGGTAAAAAATACTTGTTGCCATAAATAACTTTAAGTGAGTAATATGCACGATTGACAAGTTGAGCTACATGCTTTTCAAATCTCAAGTCTTCATCTAAAATTACCCCTAGGCTCTTCGCTTCATGTACTACCTCCAGTTGCTCATCATTTATCTTAATATTAGTGTGGAATCGAACAGTATTCCTAGTATGCTTGGGACCAAAAACAATGACTTTAGATTTACTATTGTTTATCATCAGACAATGATCAGAGGCTTTATCTACAAATGAGTTCAAATCACTATTTATTCTACTACAAGCATCATCCACCTTGTCCGAGGAAAAACTATAATATAGCTGTGTGTCGTCTGCATACAGATGGATATTACAAAACTGAAGGCATTTCATAAGCTGCGAAGTATAAATAGCGAATAGCAAGGGTCCCAAAATAGAACCTTGGGGTACCCCACAACGTAGATTTAAATATTGTGAGTGATTTCCATCGATAGAGACAATTTGTTGACGGTCATTGAGAAATGATCTGATTAAAGATACTGCACTGTTAGAAATTCCAATGTAACCCAATATTGACAACATTAAATTGTAATTGATTGTATCGAAGGCTCTACTGAAGTCTAGAAGAACTAGTATAGTGTTTTCACCCAAGTTACTGGATCTTATAATATCATCAACTATATGCAACAGGGCAGTTGTGCAGCTGTAACCTTTACGAAATCCAGATTGAGTATTCGGAAGTATGGAGAAATGGTTAATATGTTCTTTCAGTTGTTCCTCAATGGCTCTTTCAAGTAGCTTAGATAAAGTTGGTAATATACTTATAGCACGTAGATCATTGTAACTCATTGGATTCGCTTTTTTAGGCAACACCTTCACAAGTGCCCTCTTCCATACAGATGGAAAAATCTCATTCATGAGGCAAAAGTTGACAATATGCGTTATGTATGGAATAATATGTGGACAGCACATTTTAATAAGTTTTATGTTCAAAAAATCACTACCCATTGCATTTGATTTAATATTAGAAATAGTTTTGAATATGAACATATCATTTACTTCATGGAATTTGAAATCATGGTCTATCAACTTATTTTCCCTATAAAAAGAAATGAGTTCTACAGGCGGCTCCTGAAAAGGAATAGAACTAACAAAGAAGTTGTTGAGCTCATTTGGATTTTTCAAATCGTCTGGAATATCACGTTTTTTATCGGGTAAAAAATTATTAGATTTTAACGTTTTCCAAAAATTTTTCTTATCATTCCTACTGAATTCAGAAGCGAAATAAGCTCTTTTTTCCCTCTTGACTGCCTGATTTGTGTAATTTCGCATGTCTTTGTAGAACTGAAAATGAGCTAATGATTTTGATTTTTTATATCTGTTAAAAGCTTTGTCCCTTATTCCCATCATTTCTTTCAAGGTCCCTGTCAGCCAGGGAGCAGGCTTTTTAGTTATCCTTGATGTTGTTAATGGTGCATGTCTATCAAAAAGGTTCGTTAAACAATTAACCAGGAATGAAATTTTTTCATCGACTCCCTCTTGATCATAAATATTAAAAAAAGGTATGTTGTATAAGTCTCTACTGAAATCATATTCGTTCAGATATTTGAAGTTTCTACAGGTATGAAATTTGAATTTTTTTCGCCAGTTATGATATTTATTTTACAATGAACCAACATGTGATCAGTTACCCCAATCACATCAACAACACCCTTGTCCATTACCCATTCCTTTTCAGTTACCACTACATCTAATAGGGAGGATGTGGTTTCCGTTATTCTTTTGTGGTTCTCTATTACTTGGCTCAAACCAAAGCATTGCATAACTGATAATATTTTTTCAACAGTGGCATTATCATACTGCGCGAAGTTGATATTTAAGTCTCCTCCACAAATAATTTTATCCACCGAGGGATAAATTACACTCAATGTGTCTTCAAACTCATCAATAAAAGAAACGTCATCCTGAGCTGGGGGTTTATATATTACTCCAAGAGCTATTTTCGTTTTTTGTATTAATACCTTGATCCATAACTGTTCACAGCAGATGCCCTGGATATTGATTTTTTCACTACAGAAAAAATCCCTAATAAAAATGCATACGCCGCCACCTCTGGTGCGACGATCAAGTCTATATAGTTTGTATCCTTCAATATAAATCATATCATCACTTATATTATTTGTGAGCCATGATTCACATATGAGAAAAACGTCGAAGTCGTGTACTGAAGCTAATAATTTGATTTCTTGCAGTGATGGTAATAATGATCTAACATTCAAACTACCGACCCGTAGAAATGCAGGTGTCATGTTAACCAGATGATTCCCCTAAAAATATCAAGCTACCAAAATAATGATAATGAAAGTAAAGAGAAAGAAATAAGAACAAAAAAAAACTAAGTGAAAAACAACGATAATGGCAAGTGAAATACCAGAGTATAAGCCTATTTGGGTGAGACTCAACTGCACGCATTACTGCTGGTTATAAAAAGTAACAATAATTATTAATAATCATGTGCAAAAATTTTCATTTCAATGTACGTGAATGGATTAAATGATTTTCTCCATATTGAAGATGATTGCGAAATATATAATGAATACAAAATAAATTAAATACATATTCACCGAGAAATATTGAAATAACCGCTAGTGTATTTGTATATATAAAGAAAAAAAAAACAAAAAAAAGGAAAGAAAAATAATCAGATTTTAGCTAGGTCTTCCATGGAGTTGATTTGATGGTGATTTTTATCAGTATCAAGCTTGATGAATAATTTCCCCTGGTTTGTCCATACTTTTCCAGTTTCTCCCACTCTTGAAATTGCAGCTTTCAATAATTTAATTTGTTCATATGTCAGGTCCTCACGTATGATGATTCCAGTTTTCTTCAGAAGTCTCTTATTATTGTAAACAATGTGTTTGTGATATCTATTATAAAATTTAACCATAATCGGCCACAAATTTTCCCGCTCTGTAGCAACTCTCAACATCCGATTCACTCATTTTCAATTTCATCCTTTCATTTATGATTTCCAAGATATTTTGAATACAATTTTCATTTCTGTTTTCTTTTACTCCATATATTCGAAGATTCTTGCTGCGTAAGGATTGTTCAAATTTCTCTTGTTTCCTTTTCATTCCATTTATTATTATATTTTGATTTGCTATGGTATCCTGAAGTTTTTCATTCTCTTTCTTGAGCGAATCAATTTCACGTTCAAACTTTTCACTTATGACTTTTGTAATTGACTTGCATAGAATGTTAATGAAATCTTCAGATGTGCAGAGGTTGGTGACAACCGATTTAATTGTTGAGAGCAGATCATCCTCGCCCTTTTTGTTATGCCTCGTGCTCATCATAATAATGATATAAAAGATGACTTACTGGGATATCAGGTAAAATTATCTCTCCAACTCAAACACTCAACCAGTCACGAACTAAAAAGTTTATTTTCTTCGCACAATCAGTTATAAGTTTCGCAGATCAGCGGCAGCTCGAGTTTACCACGTCTACTCCATATATCATATATGATATATGATATATGATATATGATATATGATATATGATATATGATATATGATATATGATATATGATATATGATATATGATATATGATATATGATATATGATATATGATATATGATATATGATATATGATATATGATATATGATATATGATATATGATATATGATATATGATATATGTTATATGATATATGATATATGATATATGATATATGATATATGATATATGATATATGATATATGATATATGATATATGATATATGATATATGATATATGATATATGATATATGATATATGATATATGATATATGATATATGATATATGATATATGATATATGATATATGATATATGATATATGATATATGATATATGATATATGATATATGATATATGATATATGATATATGATATATGATATATGATATATGATATATGATATATGATATATGATATATGATATATGATATATGATATATGATATATGATATATGATATATGATATATGATATATGATATATGATATATGATATATGATATATGATATATGATATATGATATATGATATATGATATATGATATATGATATATGATATATGATATATGATATATGATATATGATATATGATATATGATATATGATATATGATATATGATATATGATATATGATATATGATATATGATATATGATATATGATATATGATATATGATATATGATATATGATATATGATATATGATATATGATATATGATATATGATATATGATATATGATATATGATATATGATATATGATATATGATATATGATATATGATATATGATATATGATATATGATATATGATATATGATATATGATATATGATGTATGATATATGATATACGATATACGATATATGATATATCGCTACCTCAAAACTACAAATAGATAACTCGAAAATGGGCCGATTTCAGATAACTCCACCAGCCATTATTGATTCGAATGATACTTCCATTGCAATAACTAGATAACTCAATTCTGATGTTATCTTCCTGATATGGAAAGTATCAAATATAGACATCTTCAAAATCATACATCGAATTATTTCAACAACTAGGTATCTCAAGTTGTCTAATTGTTGCATTCTAATATTTCATTCAAGTAGTGGATGAGTTGAGATATCTAGTTGTGCAACCTGATTTGAACTAGTTATAGCCCTTCCAGTTGTTCGTTTATATTCAAATCGATTATATTGTTTATCATTCTGTTGTGAATTTTTGGTAATAAGAAGTTGATTTATAATCATTATGACTAGTAGAGCACGATATATGGTTGATCGTTGTAGGAACAACGGTGAGTATCAATGAATTGTGTAATTATTACTGAGATATGATCGAATTATATGCGTTTATTGAAAAAAAAAGTAAGGTTAAGTTCAGAGAATCGAATTTTAGTTACGGAATTTATGCGGAACGGTATTGAATGTCTTGTTTCATTGTAGTTGAACACCAAAGAGCGGACGTATCTAGTTCTTTGAAGGAATGTGTGCCTAGTGAGAGTCAACTGGAGGAAGTCTTCGGTACCAGTTCTTCAGCACTCCTGAGTAAGTACATGAGAATACCCAATACAATATTATTTAGCTCTAGAATTCCGAGTTACCACTGTATTTTTGATTACAGGCAACGCCTGTAACACGGTTCGAATTTCCGAAGCTTTCTCTGAATCTCCAGGGCCTAGCAAAGAATATCATTTGCTCACCCCACTGGTAGAAAATCATATCAATCTTATTCCTGCGGTTGAAGAACTGCCACCTAGTCCACAATCACCGTTTTCATCAGACCATTCGGAATATGTTCCAGAAGACGTATCGACATCTTCCGATAGCGATTCATTACCTTTGAGTCGATTACATAGTTTGGTGCGTGAAAATAACTTAGAAGGAATGCAAACTTTTCCGCAAGTTATTTCACAGTCAAGAAAACGTCTACTGTCGCCTACTAAATGGAAAAGGAATATAGCTAGAGAAAAAAGAGCTCGAGGTGAACAATACGTTTCTTCCAGAAATAGAAATGTGCCGGCTGTCAATATGAATCCTCCATGTCCCGATAGTTGTAGAAAAAAATGTTTTTCGAAGTTAAAGTATGAAGAAAGGCTACAGATATTCAAATCATACTGGAATTTGGCTAACTATTCTCGACAACGTGACTTCATACAAAGTAATACGAACAAGAAAGAGACCCGCACGAAAACTGCAGGTGAAAATTCTAAGAGAAGTGCGTCGATTACTTTTTTCCTACCTATCAACGGTGAGAAAATGTCAGTTTGCAAAACTATGTTTATAAATACTTTGGGCATCAAGAAAGGAATGGTTGACATAGCTTTGAAGAAACGAACATTAGAGAACACTACTACTGTTGACAAAAGAGGTAAACATGTTAAGAAAGTTACTTCAATCGACGTTCTGGAAAATATGAAAAGACACATAGAGAGCTTTCCGTCTGTGCCATCCCATTATTGCAGATCGGGGACAAAGCGTCAGTACCTTTGCTCGACCTTGAATATTACTCTTATGTATAAACTATATTGCAGTTGGTGCGATGACAGAAATGTAGAGAAGGCATCTGAAGCTATGTACAGAAAATGTTTCAACGAAAATTATAATTTGGGATTCCACAGGCCAAGGAAGGATCAATGTCGGATATGTATGTCTTTCCATAATGCTTCAGCTGCCGAAAAGAAATCTTCGGAAACTACTTATAATGCTCATTTACGAATGAAGGAGCTGGCAAGAGCAGAAAAAAGGAGCGATAAAGCTATTGCCGAAGAATCTAATGGAGAGCTCATTTGCGCGAATTTTGACCTGCAGCAAGTATTACTTGTTCCAACAGATCCAACGAACAATGCGCTCTTTTACAAACGCAGGCTTGCTACCTATAATTTCACAGTATACAATGTTGTGAATAAACAAGGAGATTGTTTCATGTGGACTGAAACAGAAGGTAAAAGGGGCAGCTGTGAGATTGGAAGCTGCGTATACAAATACCTCAAATCATTACCGATTTCCACGAAACAAGTAACCTTCTATAGTGATAGATGCGGTGGCCAAAATTTGAATAAATTCATGGCAGCAATGTGTTTGCTAGCCGTCCAAGAAATTGATAATATTACAAGAATTGATTTGAAATTCCTGGTGAGTGGTCATAGCGAGATGGAGTGTGACTCTATGCATGCTGCAATCAGTAGAGAATTCAAAAGAATTGGTAAGGCGTTATGGCCAGAAGATTGGAAAACTATAGCTCGTAGTGCGAGGCGTAAAGGAGATAGGCCTTATATTGTCCACGATCTCAAACAAGACGATATTTTTGACTACAAAAAATTCGTCGAGCAGAACATGTCCATCAGAAAAACAGACGAGAGTGGCGGACCAGTGAACTGGCAGAAAATGTGTTGGATGCGTTTCAACAAAGCTCTGCCGTTCATTTTGGAGTTCAAAGAAGCTTTCGATGGTGAATTCAAACTCCTCAACTTCAACAAGAAGACACTTCGTAGTTCTCACCCCGCAACTTCACTGCAACCTTTGTACAAAGACTCGATTCCTATCACAGAGCAAAAATATTCAAACTTGGCATCTCTATTCGAAATGAAACCTCCAGCACTAGGAGATGCTTATAAACCATTTTATTACAGTTTACCTCACAATAATAAAGTTCCAGATGTTTTATCCGATATTGAAGAAGAAACAACTGAAGACTGAAATTCTGAATGTGATTGTTCTATGTGTTCCCTTAGATAAGTTTCCATGATTTATTATCCACCGTTTCATGCCTGAAAATGTGTCCTTGCTTTGTTATGGAGGAATTTATGTATTTACTTGAATAAATTCATTCCTGAAGCTGTCTAGTATCAATAACATACATTTTTATGGGTCTAAAGACCATACTTGAATATGGGTAACTATAACTCATCAAACTTATTCAATGCAACAAGTAGATAACATGAAGAATTTGTTTTAACATGTATTACATAACTCGAAAAAAATTCCTACATCTACATAAAAAGTCTGGAAGAATCATTGAATCAGAGAAAAAAATATTGAATCTATACCTCATGAGTCTAAGTTGTCACAACCGTTATTGTTGACTGTAAATATTCAGTAAATTAAGCTCCACTGAAATCATAATTTTCACCTAGTTTAACTAAACACATGTAACCACCTTTTAGTGAAATTTATTTAATAATCAAAAAGGTGAAACTCGAATGGTTACAGGCACGGTAGCTCTTATGTCTGGTGGCAAAAGGGTGGGTTGACTTCAATATTTTAGACTTTTTTTAAAATATATATATTCCGGTAGGCGCCACCCAGTTTGATTTATTGGAACTGGGAAAATGTAGTTATGCAAATTTCATAAATATTAGGAGATATAGTGAGGTATTTGAACTGCTGGAAAAAAATATGAATAAGAACAAGATAGGTGAACTTTGAGGCCACTTTTAATTCTGGTAAAGATTCCTTCAAATTGACAAAGGTATAAATATGACCACCATTACCAGGTGAGTTATAAACATTCATAAAGCACAACTTATGTGCTACCTTCATAAAATGCTAGCAAATCAATTTACATAACAGATAATCTCATGGACATACCTTCACTTATTCAAACATATACCCCCTTCTTATATTGGCCAATATAGTCTGAGTTCACACTGTGTCTGGAGACTAGTAATACCTCATAACTGGTGAATATCTACCTAATATTATTACTCTACAGTCTACATGTATGAAGAAATCTCAATGATATATTATAATGCGAAAAAATTAATTGAGTGAAAAATATGTAATTCTAATTAACCTGAGTGAAAAATATGTAATTATAGTTAACCAAATGAAAACAAAAAAATGAATTTGACTCAATGGTTGGATCTGACCTTTACTCGGAACAGCCTGGAATCTTCCAATGGGAATCCTTGACAAAACTACTGGCCTCAGAAGTTATCTTCTACTATTACTTGCTAAGAATGTGGATTTTAACATCCTGGAATGAACCCGAACAGCAGGGCATGATGATAGGAGCCACGTGAGGCATTAATTCACGTGTCCTTTCGGTCTCCAGCTGGTGTCCACATTAGCTGCAAAGGTGTGCCCCTCGTGCCACGTCTCTCGAAAACCCACCAGGGTGAATATAGAGGGACAACCTCACCAAAATCCTCTGGAACCAAAAGAATGGCGAGACTGGAGAAACTGGAGAAACAGGCGAAACGGACGGCTCTTCCTGCAGCCACCTGCAATGGCTGCCTGGATGATGAAGACCAACAAATCTATAAAATAAAACCCCAAAACCTGTAGTGAAATAACCCCTTGAATTTACCAAAAGATGTCTTACCTTCCCGAAGGAATGGCCCACAGAAAAAAGGTGGAGATGATCACTCCCCAGAGGTTGGAAAACCAAGAAATGCCGATTAATTTCGACATCGTGGAGCAGTACTCACGAAAGCCCAAAAAAGAAGAAGGCGTAACAGGAAATATTTTCACATATCCTGTGCAGAGCGTTCTTGATAATTATTATGAAAAAACAGTTGTAATTCAAATACGAATCTGCGCAATGACATGAGACAGAAAAATTGACAATCACATCTAGGTTGTCAGATCAAACATTCGGGAATAATCCACTGTTGCCAGCCCTCTCAGACCTATTCTGACGACATAAACGTACTAAACTGCACGGAGCGAGTTAATTGTACTGAACGGATTGGAATGAATAACCCAAACGAAAACGATGCACTAGTGGATTGTTATTACTCCGTCAAAATTTTACACAGTTGACATCCATCACATGCTGTCTACTGTTTGAATTCTAGGCCAACAATGTTTACAATAATTCTGACATGACTGCGAAATTTCCTTTTGTTAACTGAATGAAGAAAATAAACGATCAAAAGACAACCAAAAACAAAACATATTTTCCACCAGTATGAGGGAATACCCTATTATCATTCAGTGATGAAAATGGTCTTATTTGGATCAAGCAAAAAAAAGGTAGCAATAACAATACAGAGTGTTAAATATCAAAAAGGCAAAAATTCTTGTTACACACAAATATTTCAATCTTATATGCAAGTGCTGGTAATAGTGCAATAATCAATATAAATCAATAAGCTTCTTGATTTTTATTCCATATAAGGAGATGGCAGATAAACTTTGTAAGGTGTGCAATAAGGCGGTAAATCGAAAAAACCCCGGCCTGCAGTGTGGCAGTTTTTGTGCTCGATTTTATCACGGACAGTGTATAAACATAGTTGGAAACCAGCTCGATAGTCTCCGAACCGAAGGTGTATCGTGGAAATGTCTCGATTGCCGAAGTCGTTCCCGGACCTCAGTTGGAGCATCGCTGTCGACGGAGTTACTAGCTGTGAATGATGCACTGCCAGGTGATTCAGCATCGAATGCTCTGGGGAAAATCCGCGCAGAGCTAAGGCAGATTCGAGAACAACAAGCCCTACTTCTAGAGTCGGTAAATTTTTGCAGCAATAAAATCTCGGATTTCGAAAATGAAATTCACAAATTGAATGATTATATACGAAAAACAGATCAACTGTTTACTGAGAACAAAAAATTGAAGAGCGATCTAGACGGCCTACAGTCCAAGATGAATGACTTGGAACAGGTATCTCGCTCGAATAATATCGAAATACAGGGTGTTCCTGAAAGGAACAACGAAGACCTCTACAACATTCTCGAGAAAATAGGAACTTACATTGATTGTAAAATAAATCCTATTTCTATCGATTATGTACACAGGGTTCAAAGTAATCACAACTCCACTGATAACAAAACGAAAAATATAATTGTTAAATTCATATCAAAAAGAGAAAAAGATCGCTTCTTGTTATCTGCTAAAACCAAACGTATCGGAAATAACAGTTCACCAAAAATGTCTCTGGATGGAGTATCTGATGCATTTTATATTAATGAACACCTGACGCTAACCAATAAGATCCTGTATAGGGAAGTAAGGCTAGCTGCAAAGGAGAAACAATATAAGTTTGTTTGGGTTAAAAATGGGACAATTTTTTGTAGGAAATCCGACTCCTCCAAAATAATTGCCATAAAGAATCATGATTCCGTGAGCAAAATGTAACATTTCACACGCATATCCATACACTATATTACACTAGATACCTTTACTTCCAATGGATAAATTGTTAATCTATGGACAAAATGTCAACGGACTACGTTCTAAATTAACTGAATTCAAAATAAACACACTTAGCATCAACGCAGACGTTTATTTAATAACAGAGACTAACCTTTTTAACGAAATTTGTGACTCCGAAGTTCTTGACCTATCTCATTACAACATCTTTCGTCGGGATCGCGAAAGTGCCGCGAGTGCTGATGATAAAAAATCCGGGGGTGGCGTACTGATTGGTGTTCGAAATAATTTCGGTGCTATACATCAAAAGCACTTTGAAAGCGACGCAGAAGATTTATGGATTACCCTGTATAATGACAACAATAGCTCAAAGGTACATATTTGCTGTGTTTATCTACCTCCCAGGGATGACTACGCTAGATCTTGCTATACTACTAAACTCCAAGAAAATCTTATTGAACTCGCAGGTGAACATATCTTGGTATTTGGTGATTTCAACTTTCCACACATCAATTGGATATCCAGTGAGTGTAAAACTTTTCTGTCTCCAACGAACATTGACAACACAAACTCCCAGTTAATCGATCTTTTATCATTTGCCGAATTCTCACAGCACAATTATGTTAAAAATGCTGATGATAGAATATTAGATTTGGTGTTTTGTTCAAAAATCGAATGTACTGATTTAGAAACTAGTGATATACCTTTAGTGACCCCTGACTCTTATCATCCTCCTATTGAGTTCTATATTGGCTTTTCAAAACCGAAATCTCTCAACAAGACTTTGACGAGTTTCTACAATTTTAGAAAATGCAATTACAACGAAATCAATAATCACTTTCTCAATCTCGATTGGGATGAACTCCTTGGTAATTTACCAGTCAATCAAAAAACTGCTATATTATATGAAACTCTAGAGGAAGGTGCCAGACTTCATGTCCCTAAAGTTGAGATAAAAAATAAAAGATTCCCCACTTATTTCTCATTTGACACAATAAAATGCATAAAGCAAAAAATTCGGATGCACAAGCAATGGAAAAATATCGGAAACAAATATTACTATGAAAAATTTAAAATTTTGAGGCGTAAAAGTAAAAATCTTATCTTGAATGACTACAAAACCTACATGAGTAATATTCAGTCGGACATTTCGACATGCCCCAAGAAATTCTGGAAATATGTGAGCAGCTGTAAAAATGAGGTGAATATACCTACCAAAATGAACTATGATAATACTTCTGCCGACAAGGGTGAAGATATATGTGATCTATTCGCCACTTATTTTCGCAGCGTATATGAGCCCTATCAGCAAATTTATAATTCTTCCGAACAATTCAGCAATAACAATCTTATAAATTCAATAAAATTCACTCCAGAAACTGTATTCAATAAAATGAGCTTACTAGACGAGAATAAGGAAGCTGGAATCGACGGCTACCCATCTCATTTCGTTAAAAAATGTGCAACTAGCTTATGTTTACCTTTATGCATTATATTTAACACATCCATGCAGTCTGGTACTTTTCCAGATGTTTGGAAAACTGCTTTGTTAGTTCCAATTTACAAAAATTCTGGAAGTAGAAACTCAGTGAATAATTATCGTGGCATAAGCAAATTATCCATTTTCAGCAAAGTGTTTGAAAGTATTATCTATGACAGTCTATTTCATTGTCTCAAGTCTTCAATTTCAGAACACCAACACGGTTTTTTCTCCAAGCGTGCAATTGAAACAAACTTGATAATTTATTCAGAATACATCTCAAATGCACTAGACAATCGAGCACAGGTGGACTCGTTGTACACTGATTTCAGTAAGGCTTTTGATAAGGTTGATCATAACATCCTTATCTCGAAGCTTGCTGGAATCGGTGTGCAGGGAGACCTCTTGAGATGGTTATCATCCTATTTACACAATCGAAGCCAACTCGTGAATCTCAATGGATATAGGTCAGCACCATTTGTGGTCACTTCAGGAGTTCCACAGGGTTCACACCTTGGCCCATTGTTGTTCTCGGTCTTCATTAACGATTTGATAGGGTGCTTTGAACAATCCAATATACTTTTATATGCGGATGACTTGAAAATTTTTGGAAAAGTAACCTCTGTTAAGGATTGTACGAAGATTCAAGAAGATCTATCAAAATTTTCAATTTATTGCAATCGCAACAGATTGAAACTAAATGTTAAAAAATATGCTTGTATATCATTCAGCAAAAGCAGTACGCCGATTGAATTTCAATACTCCATAAATGATATTGTAATAAATAGAGTAGATCAAATCAAAGATCTTGGAGTATATTTTGATTCTAAAATGAGCTTTAATCCACATCTAGACTATGTAATCAACACCTGCAGTAGAACCTTAGGTTTCTTTTGCAGAATGTGTAGGGACTTCAACAATGAGGTGGCAATAAAATCAGTTTACTACTCATTTGTTTTCAGCAAATTGAATTTTGCTAGTGTCATATGGAACCCCTATTATAACATTCATAAAGTACGTTTAGAAAGACTTCAGAATAGATTTGTGAGATTCCTTCATTTTAAAATGACTAATATGTATGTAATAACAGGTATTAGTGAAATTCGCACCCACTATGAGATACAACTTCTCGAACAGCGAAGAATTATCAATGATTTACTCATCCTATTCAAAATATTAACAAACTGTTATGACTCACCGAAATTAGTGTCGATGATTTCCTACCATGTTCCTCAGAGGTATACCAGAAATAGACAATTATTAGCGTGCTCCAATTATTATACAAATTTAGGTAAAAATTCTCCAATGACCAGAATGTGTGATTTATTCAACAAATATTGCAATGATGTAAAAATTGTTTCCATATCTTTATATTCCTTTAAAAGAATTACGAAAAATATTTTTATTTCCTAATATCACGATGATGAGTAATTAGTATTCATTAATGAAAATGCTTACTATTTTTCCCGTATCGTATATATGATTGTCATTTTCATACCTCCTATGTAATTAGGTGTATTTTTGTATTTTTGTATTTGTTTAGACATGAATATTAGCTCTGTAACGGATTGTATTAGTGGATGCTTGTATGGGTAACAACCTGTTAGTATCCCAAATTTCGAATAAATTAATAAATAAATAAATAAATAAATAAATTCGATTTATCTCAGAACTATTAAATCATAGATGTCTATTTGTTGCATTGAGGTAGCGATATGATATATGATATATGATATATGATATATGATATATGATATATGATATATGATATATGATATATGATATATGATATATGATATATGATATATGATATATGATATATGATATATGATATATGATATATGATATATGATATATGATATATGATATATGATATATGATATATGATATATGATATATGATATATGATATATGATATATGATATATGATATATGATATATGATATATGATATATGATATATGATATATGATATATGATATATGATAAATGATAAATGATATATGATATATGATATATGATATATGGTATATGATATATGATGAATCTTCCACAAGCTGTATGAATTGAACTACATGTATTTTTTGATGCAAGCAAGAAAGCATTTGCTACCGCTGCGTACCGAAAGACAATCACTGAAGGCAGTAGAAACAACCCTAGTAATTGCCAAGGCGAAAGTTGCTCCAACTGAGGAATTATCTATTTCTAGACTTGAATTACATGCGGCCTTGTTGGGAAGCACATTTGCATAATTGTTGAAGGTGATTTTAGACTCAACGACGGTTTTTTATGGGATTGATGGCGACAAAAATAACCTGAAACACTTTGAATCATGCAGATTTGGAGAAGTTCAGGAACTCACACATGAAAACCACTGGCAATCGATTCCTTCAGAATATAATGCAACTGACACTGAAACACGAACATATGGAAGTGAAGCGATATTAGATTTCAGAAATGGATTTCTGGTACTGACTATTCGAAGTAGCTGTCCTGAAACCTTTCCGTCAGAATTTCCTCCATCCTGAAGTTGCTCCAGGATCGAGTGACCTCCAAGATTGGCTCTGGACCAATCACTGAACCCTTCGCCCCCTTTCTGGCCAGACCATCGGTCATTTCGTTACCTGTGCCTAGGGACCCACAAAGTAAATACTTTGTTCGTTGCTGACTGCCTTTGTAGGCTATCTATGCACTCTAACACCATGGCGGGGGTCACCCTACATCAGGTGAGCGAGTTATGTGAGCAACAAACCGGGTTTTCCGTGAGAACCTGCTGACATCAACGTCATTAGAAAAACACGGGGAATCTCTAGCTGTCGCGTTGGACATTTCGAAAGCATTTGACCGTGTTTGGCACGAAGGACTCCTCCACAAACTACCATCATACGGCTTACCACCTCAGCTATGCCATCTCTTATCGAGTTCTCTTTCAGGCAGATCGCTTCATGTGGTGGTGGACGGTGTATCGTCTGATACAATTGGCATCAATTCCGGCGTTCCACAAGGATCAATTTTGGCACCAACATTTATTTATTTATGTATTATACAGACCACACAGGTCTCTTTACAGGGATAAAAATGTTGATCAATATACTAATACATTAATACTAAGGTATAAGGAAGGTTCTAGATGTAGTTGTAAAATTTAATAATAATAACAATTATGTCTAAGGAAGAGGGTTAAACATTTTGTATACTTTTTCATAGTACGCATAGAAGTCAGTCTAGTTCGAACAGAGATATTTATGAGGTGATGTGTAATTGATGATCGAAATGCATTTTGTGAGGTTGTCCATACTAAATCTAGTAAGGCGTGGAATTCATTTGCTAGCCTCAACATGGCCACAAGCGGGGGTCTTGTAGTAAGCATAAGAGGAATATTAAACATTGCAAATGATCGTGTTCTTCTTGGAGGGATATTGAATCTTATCAGTGAGAGTATTTCAGGTGAAATGATTATGTTATTCAGCAAATTATGCAAAATAATCAAAACAGTAAGATTTCGTCTATTTTCCAGTGACATAATTTTAAATTCATTTCTCAACTGATACGATCGAATAGTTTTATAGTCTGCACGTTTATTATATTTTTTATAATAAATGAATCTCAGAAATTTGTTTTGTATTTTCTCTAACTGACTCAATCTAGTGTGGTATTCTACAAACCATATGTGTGCACCAAATTCTAATTTAGGTCTAATTAGACTGTAATGAAGGATTTTGAGAGAATTAATGTTTGTGAAACTTGTAGATTGTCTGATCATATATCCCAGCAAAAGGTTCGCAGATTTCAATATGTTTGTAATATGTAATGAAAAAAAAAAGTTACGATCATAGGTGATACCAAGATCTTTTACATTTTTACAGCGCGCCAGAACCTCATTCTCAATTGTATATTCGAACAAAATTGGATTTTTTTTTCTTGTGATAGTCAAACCGAAATACTTTTTGATGTTGAAATATAGCTTATTACTCAAACTCCATTCATATAAACTGTCGATATCTTTTTGGAGCATAATACAATCACGTATAGTATTAATTTTTTTGAACATTTTTTAATCATCCGCAAATAATAGCAGGGGACCTAAATTTGAGCCTTGCGGAACGCCCGAATTGGCTTCAAACATTATTCCTTCATCATATCAATGATCTGTTGGGAGTAACAACTTGCCCCATCCTCAGCTTTGCTGATGATAGTACCCTCCATACTGCGTTCTCTTTCAGAATTCCCATTTCTTCTCAGGAAACTAGGAACTCACGATGCAGGCAAGTCAATTCTGTCAATGAAGAACTTGCTGAAATCACAGCCTGGGGAACCAACAACCTAGTTGAATTCAACGGAACGAAAACTCAAGCCTGTATTTTCTCTAAAAATGCGGAACTCAGTATGCCCGACATTGTAATGTCTGGCACCACCATCCCCACCAAGCCCACCATATCTATGCTCGGTATTTCCATCAGCAACACTCTTTCATTGGATAATCATGTCAGATCCATCGCAAAAGCTGCTTCACAAAAACTCGGATTCTTGTTCCGTGCGAAAAGCTACTTCACACCTCAACAGCTCCTCATGATCTACAAAGCGCAGATACGGCCTGTTCTAGAATACTGTTCCCACATATGGGGTTCAGCACCAGAACATACGCTAATGCTCTTAGATTCCATCCAGAGAAGAGATATCCGTCTGATGGGTGACGCCACACTCACTCACTCACTCACTCTTCGACATCATTGGATCACCGTAGAAAGGTCGGCGACCGTTCGCTTTTCTATCGATACTTTCACGGGAAATGTTCTTCGGAAATCTCTGCTATCATCCCTTCACTAGCAATACCAGTCAGGTGAACTAGACAAGCCCATTCAGCACATCCTTTCGTTGTCAACCTCGAAAGATGTCGAACAGCACTTCATCAAAACTCCTTCATCCATAAAACGGCTAGGCTCTGGAATTCATTGCCTGAGGAAGTATTCCCAACAACATATAATCTCCAGAAGTTCAAAAAAATCTTCAATACCTACGTCCTATCCCTATCCTCCCTAGAAACGCATGATGTTCTTTGAACATTATAGGGATCCCCTTTCGTGCGCTCCAAGCGATGAAAAAATATCAGCAGAAATCCGAACTAACCCTGGTATTCTCCCTTTCAAACTCGGAACCGCCAGAATAAAGATCGCTTCCCATACCTTCCTCCACTACATCAAAATTGATTATTTACGTTAACAAATTCAATCAACCGATCAGTACAACCATTTGGGTACGCTCATCAACAATCGTCATCTTATCAGAACTGATTATCTACAAAATATTTATAAACGTCTTGAATATGAAGTAAACACAGCAAATAGGAAAATTAATTCACTATTTTCCAAAGAGAGGACAAAAAGAGGCTTAGTAAATCCAGCAGGATCCCTTATGAAGTTTTTCACTGGAAATCTTGACCAAGAAGACGCAAAAGAAATCTATGGTAGCATTTCGGAACTCGAAAACAATGAGAACAAAATAACCAAGAAGGTGAACAAACATATTTCATTAACAGCTAATCTGATGAATAATATCAATGACACGATGACTACTTTCAAGAAAAATCAAAATATATTGGACCAAATCAAACTTAATCTTGATTCACTCCTAAATTTCCTCTCAGAAACTGAAAATGCTGTAAGTTTCGCATACCTTGAAACTCTACATTATAGTATTGTTTCTTCAGAAGATCTCAAAGAAATAATAAATGAATTACATGAATCGCATACTGATTCGCAAATGCTGTTTCATTCAGACGATTACCTCAAATATCATCATAGTATAGTAGAAACCAGCGTTTTTATATCTGATGACAAAATGATATTTTCACTTGACTTCCCTACCAACCTACATAACCTTGAGCAACGAAGACTATCAATACCACAACGAAGAATGCATTGATCTCAGACCAAACTACCTCTGCAAGAAGAATCATCTTCTACCCCTTCGAGAGAACTTGGATTGCATTACATCTCTTCTGTCTGCCGAAAGCAATTTAATCAGCTGCCAACAAGTTCCCATCCACGTCAGTCGACAGTTGATTGAAGAAATCAACGAATCCCAGAAGATCAGAAACTCCATCTTGATTGCAAAGAAAACAATGTGGCCATAGTCCGTGGCACGTACCTCTTCGTAATTCCCCCAGCATGTTCCATAAAAACACCAACCTTCAGCTACAAGAATGAGAAGGGTGTCATTATAGGACATCCCATGTTATTGGAAGAAATCAAAGCTTTCAATATGACAACTCTTCATGTTGGAAAACTGCGACTCGAGAAAGTTTCCCTTGATAAACTACACGAGCTTCAACTACAACAACTACAAGACGAACCCCTTGAGACGATCAGCCTTCACAGAAGATATTCCCAATGGTCCATTTGGAGCGTCGCGACGCTTGTCATGTGCGTCCTAGCCTACCTATGCATCGCCAAAAAAAGCAGAGTCCAGACATGGTTTTCCAAGAAACGAACACAAGAACCCCAGAGGATGGCCATCAACGAAACTCAAGTTGTCCCACCCTCGAGTTCCTTCTAAGGGATGGAGCAGCAACCCGGTTTCCCGTGAGAACCTGCTGACATCAACATCAGCAGAAATCTGACTTCAGGGAAAGAACGAGATGCCTTGCGAACCGCAATTCAGAATAGACATGATCTTGGTAGAGTGAAGACGTATTTTTTTTTTATCATACATACATTTCGTCTCGTGCTGTATGGACGTGTTTCGAAGGTAGTACACAAAAAAGTTGTTTTTGTAGTATAAAACTGCATTGTTTATCACAAGTAGTGAAATTCGCTTATGAAATAACATGGGTGAAAAAAGTGGTGGTGATAAAAATGCTACAAGGATAAAACAGTTTGAAAGACGTCGTATATTTTCTAATGAATCTATTGAACTTTCCCAACACGACATAAATACAATTATAGGTATTCAATCAAAAAAACAGGCAGAACAACAAAAACCGCGGACAAGTGATAAAGATCTAAAAACAAAGAAGGATAAAGATTCAGAAATACACGGTGGCACAAATAACAGAAACGAGGCAAATGAAGACATGGAATTACTGGCGGGAATTGATTCAAATGATGCAGAAAAAGTTTTCAAACCAGAAAAATCTATTCCACGTTCTCCCACTCAAAATATAATTATTCCAGCAAGTTCAGCACCTGTAATTAGTCAAGAGGGCACACAAAAACGCCCTAGGTCAGAGTCAAGTCCAGAGTTACAATTTACAAAGAGGCAATGTGAAGGAACAAAAAATGCTACAGAAGTGGACGACCAGCAAACAGTTAGACAAAATGAACTAACAAACTCACAAATGAACACTACTGAATGGCAAATAATGAATATAATGACAGCCATAGAGAAGATTGAAGAGGTTGCAAAAAAAGGAGGTTCGGGTGGTAGTGCAGATGACAATGAAAATAGTAAAAATGATTTAGCAGATGCAGTAAATCTTCTACGAAATAACTTAGTGCTACTAGTTTATAAACTAGGTTCGCTCGAAAAAGAAAACTCATTGTTACAAAACGAATGTAAAATTAAAAATGTTGAAAATAGCAATCAAAGGCAACTAGGTTATAGCCATGCAAATGAGACACAGAATAATGATGAGCAACGAAAAAAGGGAACTCAGAAGACGTATGCCTGTGCTTTAACATCGACCGTAACACAAGAAAAAAGTATAGAAAGGGGAGACAGTGAAGAATGGAAAACACCTAAGACAAAAAAAAGGCATCAGACAATCATAATGTTACGGTTTATTTGCAGCTTAGCGCCCATAGTTCGCCGGCAACGCGGCGATATTCATTTGAGTCTTATTTCTCGACCTATTTGGCCGTCGAACGTCTATTCGACACCAACCTGGGCAAACGTCACACGAATCATCATGAATAGTGGGGAAGCGATCTACCGAGAGTGTAGTCTATCAACTGCGTCATCGAACCGAAACCAGAACTTAAATTGATGAATCTGCTAACAGCGAGGACCCCGCATACTTTATGAACAAATACAAGCGAATTCTCATGCAATAAATAGAGGGAATGATAGCAAATTTGTAAGCGTATAGGTTGGGGCCGAGGAGTGGTCTTGGACTATTGGTACGAGTGCAGCATTCAGTTGAATGTACCTTGTCGATAACTGTCGGGAGAAGTGAAGTTGACATTGAGAATTTGACAGATTTGACAAAGACACTTTGTCACTGGTCACTGGGTCACTTCCTTCTTCCTTCGGGCATTTTTGGCACGACATGCTGACGGTGTCGTATGGTATATATATTGGTAGATATTCATGAATATTCTATTCATCCATTTATGGGTTATATTCTGCTAATATGAAATTTATATTTTGAAAGGTATTGGGTTTTGTGATTAGCATATTTTGAGTACGTTTTCAAAATTACTTCCGTGTTCGGGATTTCAATACTTGTGTACACCAAAGCAACTTCGTTATAAAGGTATGTTCCACAATTCAGAAAATGTGAATTATCAGCATAGTCCAAGATCACCTCTTCTGTCCACAGCCAGCTATCAAGAACGATCAGTTGAACCATACATAACCTAACCTCTCATCTCAACTCAAGGGAGCCCCAGGGCTGATTTAGGAAACCTGAGATACCTTGTGTGATATTATTTGTAGGTTATAGAGGAAACAAGCCCCACTGACACTCGGGTAAGTGTGTCCTACACATCTTATTTACTAGTAATCTATCAGCATTATTGTCTGTGCAATCTGACCTTTGAGGGGGCTGAAATCTTTAGTTTGAAGTTAATTCTTAGAGCTCTAGTGAGACAGAGTGGTCTCTTGATATTTATGGGGAACCTACATCACTTTTAAGGGACATAGTGTAGTGTGTGAGATAGTCTATACCACCTCAGGTTTTCAAGCTGGATTTTAATAATGTCACTTTCATGTTCATCGAAATGATACAGCCTTTGTCTGAGTCTATATCACTTAAGTTTTCAAGCTGGATTTTAATAATGTCACTTTCATGTTCATCGAAATGATACAGCCTTTGTCTGAGTCTATATCACTTAAGTTTTCAAGCTGGATTTTAATAATGTCACTTTCATGTTCATCGAAATGATACAGCCTTTGTCTGAGTCTATATCACCTAAGTTTTCAAGCTGGATTTTAATAATGTCAGTTTCAAATTGATCGAAATTACTTTACCATTTTCTGGGACTATACAGGGTGTCACCACTTAAAGTTTTTAAACAGTGTAATGACAAAGGGCCTTTCCTACTCAACAAGAATTGCAATACATTTTTGGAAATAGACAACTATACAGGGTGGGACAACCTAAAGTTTCCAAGCAGAATCTTACTAATCTTTCTAAAATGAGTTCATTGAGATTAATTAAGTTATATATTTGAAATGTTGAGATTGGTTGAGTTGGTTATGGGTTATACAGGGTGAAATCATAAAAAGTGAACAAAAGGGTTATAAATGTTCTGTTCGAGATTACAGATTGATATTTGATGATATCATAGTTCAATTTCAATTTAATGGGGTTTTAATAGTTTTTTTAATTACAACCTGAGTACAGAAATATTGTCAAACAAGTAAGGAATAGCGTGTAATTTAGCTTATTCCTTCACAGGGTTTTTCCTTTTGGTATAAGTCTGCTCATATTTCTCGTCGTGCTTGGTACTAAATCTGGAGGCTTAGGATTCCTGGTTGTTCGGCCCAGGTCTAACACTGCTGAATTCGAACCAGCATTAGCCGAACTTTGACTGCAGATACCATCATCTGCTAGTCGCAGACATTATCAACACTTCGAGCAGTCTGCAGTCTACAGTCTGACATCTGACTTGCAGGCTCAAGTCTTCGTCGTGGGATTGCACGCAAGTTTTACTAGGAAACTTATATTTAACTTTGAACTTTTATCACTGGGAATTTATCTTGAAATTTGATTTAATATTATGATATAATTCGTTGCGTCATTACTTTATATCGATTGTTCTTCTGATTCCACACACCTCATTTTACTTTTCGAATATTTAGGGAAACCCAGCGCTTATGCATAAGGCTTGGTAAGCCAATTTACCCATATTACATAGGTTGTACTTAATTTGAGACTGTGGGGTCATAGAATATTATTTGATTCCATCTATTTACCATTTCATGTATAATCATCTATTCACACTAAAGGCCTAAGTATTTTTGAGTTGACACTGTGAGATTTTGTACATTTGTTATTAATATTGAATGTTGAATTTGCAATTTGATGCAATTAAACTGAAGTTGTTATTGTTATACCGAGTTAATTATTTCCTTTGATTTTCATCAACTTATTTTGGTAAATTTGGTGAGTTGATTAGCAACTAAGGGTGTTTGCCAGGGGTAAATTTATCTGGCGCCCATTTCACTATGAGAATTCATTTTTAACGATTTTTCTTCATATCGAACCCCCCCCATCTCCACTGTAGCGAGCGGCAAACTACCCGTCTGTCATTCTGACAGCCGGTTTATGCGACTTTAAGGTTTTAGAGCGTTGAGGTAGGTCGCATTTTTGGCGCACCAACGTGGATTTAGTATTTTCATTTTTTTTGGAGAAACTTTCAACTCAAGAATACTTTTGCCTCTTCTATATTTGGAAAATTCTGGTGATAGTTACCCACCTGAATAATTTGATATACCATTTTGAACACATTTTGACTGTTGTATATTTGAATTTTTTTTGCGGATTTTGAAAATTTTCTGGTGATATTGACCCACATAATATCTTTTGAGTATAGTTGAATCAGTTATTATAATTGAAATTGTTGTGGTATTTTTGATGATTATTTGAAAAATTTTTGGATTTTCAACAATAACTGATTCCACTTATACGAACTAATCCCGTGATATTTTTGAAGATTATTCAACGACCATATTTACTTTGTGGTATATCACTTATTTCGAATATCTTGCAATTTTTTTTGAACATCTCTTAGTATAATTGCCATCAGTCATTATAATTGAAGTTGTTGTGGTATTTTTGAGGATTATTAAAAAAAAAATTTTTTTTTTTTTTTCAATATTCAATAATGACTGGTGTCACTTGTACAATTTAAGTCCGTGTGGTATTTTCAAAGATTATTCACACGACTATTTCAATTTTGTGGGATATCATTTATTGTGGATAACTTGCGTGTTATTCGGTGGGATTATTTGCAAAATATTTCTTGGACAATATTTTGGAGTTGTGGAATTTTTTTTCTTGGGATTTATTGAGATTTTTTGGGGGTTACCATGGCTCGTCGAATGGTAGTCAAAAGGTTGGGTCAGGATGAGTTGACATACGAGTTGCGGGTACGTGGTATTGCTGTTGGCATAGTTGAGGAGATGCGTCATAGTTTGTCAATGGCTATCCAATTGGAGAAAACTGGGGATAGTTTCAGGTACCCTGCTTATCCTTTCACGGTGGAGGAGGATTTATTGGCCATTGAACAGAAATTAACCTCATTGAATTCAGAAATTGATCAATTTGATAATTCTCTCTCCAGCGGTTCATTTCAGAAGTACCAATCCAAACTAACACATGTATTGGGGCGTATCGAGAATATTCCAGAGGCAGCTAGTGGGGAGGTGTTAGCAAAACGTTCTGAGTTCTTGGCAAAAACATTATCTCTTCTTGATATTCTACATGTTAAGGCAAACCAGTTTGATGGTGTTCAGACGAACACAGGTACAACCATGGGTCCTACAGAGCATTCCTTTCGTGCAGGATTTCAAACTAACATACCTCCTACTAGTGCTACTCCTGCGAGGGCACGTGTTCCAACGGCTACGGTTAGTTCACCCTCTCCTACTGCTCATCCAGGTGGTGTTAGCCAAGTCATCAAGCCAGTACCTCCTAGTAAATGGGATCTTAAGTTTTCAGGAGATCGCAAAGGAGTTTCCCTCAGTGCTTTCCTGGAGCGAGTGGAAGAATTGAGTTTAGCTCGTCACGTGCCTAAGCAGTTGTTGTTGGAAAGTGGTATCGATCTATTTTGTGGGCGCGCTTATCAATTCTACGTGGCTTATAGGCATGAGGTAAATTCTTGGGACGATTTGGTAGCACTTTTGCGTGAAGAGTTTCAGTCGGAGGATTATGGCGAGAAACTGCTTGAGGAGATCAAGAAGCGTACTCAGGGTAATGATGAGTCCATAGGTATTTACTTGGCAGTTATGGCAGGGTACTTCAAGAGGTTAACGTTTCCTCTCTCTGAGGCTGATAAACTGAAAATTCTTCTTCGAAATATTGCACCCTACTACCAGAGTCAACTTGGCCTTGCGGACATCACCTCGGTTAGTCAACTTCTCAGTTTATGCAGGAGGTTAGAAGTTAGGAAACAATCCATTGAAAATTTCGCAGCCCCAACCAGGAAAGCCAGTGTTCTGGAACCTGACCTCGCCTATGTGGGTATCCAGGAGGACATGGTTGAGACTGTTGAACAACCATCTTCTCATCATCAGTTAAGGGAA